CGAAACCGAGTCGTCTTTGTGTTCACCTACTCGGGTGAAAGGTGGCCATCACGTTTTTGGGGAGCGACTACACAACTGCTCGATCGTTCAACAAACCTCATCTTCTTCCCGGCGTTCATGGTGGCGGCAGGAGATCGGCACTTGAAAGGTCTAGTTTGGTTTTGGTGAATTGATGAAACCCTAAGTGCTAACCTAGTTTATCAAAGTGATCATGAGATAGGTAGCACATTTCAAGCGGTGAAGCAAATGAAGATCATGACATGATGATGGTGATGCCATGATGATGATCAAGTGCTTGGACTTGAAAAGAAGAAAGAGAAAAACAAAAGGATCAAGGCAAAGGTATAAGTGGTAGGAGCCATTTCGTTTCGGTGATCAAGACACTTAGCGAGTGTGATCATATTTAGGTTTGATAGCCGTACTATTAAGAGGGGTGAAACTCGTATCAAAATATGGTTATCAAAGTGCCACTAGATGCTCTAACTCATTGCATATGCATTTAGGATCTAGTGGAGTGCTAACACCCTTAAAAATGTTTGTGAAAATATGCTAACACACATGCACAAAGGTGATACACATTGTGTTTAGCACTTGGGAGCAAGGGTTCGAAACTTCACCGGCGCCCTGTATAGAAAAGATAGAGTTTCACAGAGTGCACCGGACGCTGGCCTCGGAAGGATCGGCGCGTCCGGTCAGTGACAGTAGTTGGGTGTGGTCTCGATCAAATGACTAGACGCTGCACTATAAAGGTGACCTGACGTGCAGGGCCTGCGTCCGGTCATGTGTGACGTATGGTGACGTAGGCGGTGCTGGAGTTGGCGCGCGGGCGCAGAGCTGATCGAACGATGGTCTATGTCCGGTCGTGCAGCACCGGACACGTTCGGTCGCAAAACAGAGGCTCGGGGATCTCTTTGGAAACGACTGGAATCTGGCTGGTCTGTGTCCGATCGCGTAGGAGCGGACGCGTCTAGTCGCGACTGGAACCTTACTGGAAGTGACCGGACGCTGTCCTATGCTGTAGAGCGTCCGGTCACAACTTAAGTGTACTGATGACCATTGAGATCGGACGATCAGCATTTGAAGCAGGAGACACGTGGTGAAAATCTGAGGACCGGACGCTGGGGTCCTACGTTTGGTCAAACCGACCGATGCGTCCGATCGCCTCGATTTTCAGTGGACTGAGGTGCCAATGGCTCTATTTCGTGGGGGTTTCTATTTAAGCCCCATGGCCGGCTCAAGCTCACCCTCTTGGCCATTTGCATTGACATAGCAACCTTGTGAGCTTAGCCGAAGCCCTCCCACTCATCTTCATCATTGATTCAACATTTTTGTGAGATTGAGAGTGAATCCAAGTGCATTGCTTGAGTGTTTGCATCTAGAGACACTTGGTGTTCGTGTTTCGCTGCGGGATTCGCTTGTTACTCTTGGTGGTTGCCGCCACCTAGATGGCTTGGAGCAGCGAGGATCGTCGAGCGGAGGTTAGTGATTGTCTCCGGCTCCGATCGTGGTGATTGTGAGGGGTTCTTGACCTTTCTTCGGCGGAGAGCCAAAAGGTACTCTAGTAAATTGCTCGTGGCTTGTGTGATCCTCATCTTGTGTTGGTTGTGCGGCACCCTATTGAGGGTTTGGAGGGTGATGCCAATCAGCTCGTAAACATCCAAGTGAGTGAATTGCCATATCGAGGACTAGTTTGTCGGCAAGCAAGTGAATCTCGGTAAAAAATCATTGTGTCATTATTTGATTCCAAGGTGATTGGTCTTCATTGGTATTCATTCTTGTGATTGATTAGTTCATTTCTTAACTCGGCGGTATAATCATCTTGCTCACTCTCTTTACATTACCGCAAACTAGTTTGCACGCTCTTTAGTGTAACTAGTTGTGATAGCTTGTTAGTTTGGTTAATGTGGCGCTTTAGTTAGCCTTTGAGAGCACACTAACTTAGTGTAGTGACATAGCCATTATGTGGATAGAAAATATATAAACTAGAATTGTGGTAGGTGGCTTGCAATTTTAGTAGGCTAGCGTAATACTTGCTTTGCCTCATAATTGTCTAAGCGGTTTGCTAAGTGTTGTTGTAGAAAGTTTTAATAGGCTATTCACCCCCCTCTAGCCATTAGGACCTTTCAGCACTGCAACTTCTCTGCATTACATCGAGCGGGACGACTGCTCCAACAGGCGCTATGTCAACTTGCGCAACTGGCTCTGATGCCGCTAGGTATGTTCTAATTCATCCCCTATCTTCAACGATTAAAATTATGATTATTAGTATCATCTACATGTTTGTGTCACTTAGATCACACGTGCACATATATGAGGTCACAAACTTATTCTTAATATTTTTCTAGATTAAATTAATACTAAAATTGCCTAAATTTCTAACATCTTCTTCTTACATTTTCACTAAAAAGAAGCACTAACCGAATCCAAGAGTCGCACCATTCCTTACCAATGTTTGGGAAAATAAAGCATACGTCGTGTTCGAACTGGATTTTTTCTTATATCGACAATCCATTGACTCTTCTTTGGCACCACCACACTCCACTGTCCACTCTGGCACCCTCTCACAAGTCGTTGTATCGTTGTAGCTGCATTCTTGGTGATGTGGCTCCTAGCATTACATATCACTTCATTCGCGACCTTTGCTAGGAGTACTGTTACCTTTTTGTATCTTGGGTGGTGGTGTGATTTGCTACCACGTACCACCATTGCCCGCCGCAAAGAGTCCCCATTCATCTCTCATCTCCACCATGTTGCATAGAGATTCATTCCCCATACTAGTTATTCTCTTGATCAAGCATGCTCATACAAATTATATCCCACTAAACAGTGGCCCACCCACGACATTTATCGGCAGGAGCAGAGTCAGAAATTATACATAGCGGAAGCTGGTCAAAGAGATTCAATATATGTGAATTAAGCGCAACTTATCTTCTTAAGTTCTTTTGGTGGAAACCTGACCACCCACATTAGTCATCGATGTAGCGGCTCCTATTTTCTATAATTATTCTAGTATTTGATGATTTAATAATGCTATTCTATCCATGATAGGCGATCATGTCTGTCGACAACGAGTCATTTGTGGTGACTATGACTCAGATTCTCGAAATCTTATCGCCTTAGTATTTCAAAGGTGCTCATGTGGGGTAGGAGTTCATATGGGTGAGAATACATGCACATAAAAAGGGAGTCGACATAATAACAGTGCCACCCAATAAGCTTGATGATGATAAAGTATTGATGACCACCTAATTCTTATTACTAGGAAAATAAGTTTAGATGGATCAAAATATTTAAATCTGATTGTGTTTTGTGCGATTTTGTTGTCTAGAAAACTAGAAGATACTCCAGGCATTGTTCCGGGATTACGAAGAATTTGGAATGAAATTGAGTGGACAGGATGTATGTGGATAGCTTGCAATTAGAGGTTGGAAATTAGTGGGATGATATGGCCATTAGTGGAAGATGATGCGGGTAGTTAGTGGAGGATGATATTGATGGCTTGTATGTTTAGATAAACTTGTAGTAGGGATTATCTTTATGAGAGATATAGATAGATAGGTACTCCCTCCATTAATTCCAAATTATAAGAAGTTTTGGCTTTTCTAAAAACATTGTTCTCACCATGTATTTAGACATAGAGTATATCCAAGTGCATAGCAAAAATAATATATCTAGAAAAGCCTATATAGATAGAGTATATAACAAGAATTTTTATTATATCTTTTTAATATCAAAAATTTATTAAACTATATATTAAATAAAAAAATAATGGTTGTGCTATTAGCGGGCCATACCCCCGTGTTGATCGGTTACAATGAAAACGCACCGTAGACTGACTATACTAGTAGAATAGAAGAAGTAAAATACCTCATGTAAAAAGAAGATTATGAATTCAAAAAAATTAGAACGTGATTTCACTTATATTTCAAAAAAAAGATTTACTAAAATCATGCGGTCTCGTAGAAAAGGCATAAAAATTCGAAATGCACTAGAGAATGGTTGGTAGGACTCGAGAAACAGTTTAAATCGAAAGTTCGGTTCGGGTTTTTCGGTTTTAAGAAACTTCGATTTTCAAAATAAGCTAAACGATCAGTTTTTCCTAGAGCCAGAAATTGACGGGTTTGGTTTTCCAAAAAAAAAAAGTTGAAGTCCTCAAGTCTTCTGCTTGCCAGGTTGCTGTTGCCCCTCACCCCTTGCCCCTGCTCGCGTCGCCGCTTCCACCTGCAGCCCTGCTCGTTGTTGGCCACCGTTGTGCCCACGGGTGCTCCCTACTCGTGCGCGCCGCGCAAGCCAGGCTGCTAGAGCAAGAGGGTTTGCAGCCTGTTCGTTTGGTCATATTTGACTTATAAGACATAGTTTATCAGCCAACAAATAGTATTTTTCTCTTACATCAAACCAGCCAACAGTACTTTCAGCCATGGCTTATAAGCCAAACCAGCCCAAACGAACGTGGCGTTAGTTATTTGGGGGATTGGGAGTGAGAGCCTGAGAGAGGTTGAGGGGGTTGGTTGGGGACTTCGGGCTTGGTGGGAGGGGTGTGGGGGTTGTGGGCTGGCTTGGAGAATGGGCGACGGTGGGCTGTGACCTAGGAGAGACGGTGAGTGAGGCTGGGTCTAGGAGCTACTGATTGTTTGATTTTGGTTTTAAGGTTGTTCGGTTCTTTGTGACCCTAAAACAGAAACTAAGACAGATTGACAACCGAACTTCCAGAAATTCAAAACCAAAACCCAAAAAAATCGGTTCGTTTGGTTGGGTTCAGTTTTCGAAAAAAGTACCCAGCCTTAATGGCTGGGTTTGGGGTTTCGCAGCAAATACGAGAATCTACAAGGCGCTATGTGACAAAATGCATGCCACACGAGTTCAGTGGCTTTGTTATATCTTATTACACCCCGGGGCGGGACCCACAGTTAATGTGTAGGACCCGACCCCTACCAGTAGGTGGGTACACTACTCATGTGCACGTGCACAACGGCACACGACTCGTTGGGGCCCTATCTAAACTAGCCGCTGAACGGGCGGTACACCTTGAGCGCGCCGATGACGTCGGCGATGGAGCCCGCGGCGGCGGCGACGGACACGACGAGACAGGCGGCGCTGAGCATCTGGAGGCAGATCCAGTGCGTGCTCCCTCTGCGCACGCCGCGCTGCGCGACGTACATCTCGATGGGGAAGTAGACGGTGAGCGGCCAGAAGGAGACGGCGCCGAGGAGGCCGACGACGTCGCCGAAGAAGGGGAGCAGCATGGCGACGACGGTGGTGAGGACGACGAACGCCGTGCGCCAGGTGAGGCGGAACACGCTGAGCTTGAAGGGGCCGACGGCGCCGAGCTCCCGGGTGATGAAGGCGCTGTCGGGCCACGTGGCCGCCGCCCACTTCTCGACGAAGGCGAAGAGCGGCTGGCAGAAGACCTGGTAGGCCCCGACGAGGTGCACGACGATGGCGACGTTGGCGATGTCGAGGAGCCAGAAGGGCTCGTAGAAGCCGAACCCCGTGAGTAGGTTGTCCGGCGCCGCGTCGCCGAAGGCGGCGTAGCCCATGCACCCGCACAGCATGTAGAACACCGTCGTCGTCGCCACGCTCACCATCGTCGCCCTCTTCATCACCTTCGCCTCCGACGGCGGCGGCGCCCTTGATCGTGTCCTGAACAAACAAACATTCGGTAGGCACATGGTCAGGAACAGAGGAACAGAGCAGCGGCGGCGTAAAACTGTTGCAGCTGATCAGAACAGAGCAGGTAGGGTCTTGGGCTTGCCTGGATCTCGATGAGGATGATGGAGTAGGAGTATGCGAAGGCGATGTTGCCGAAGGCCTGCAGGCTGCGCCAGACCTTCTGCGTGGGCGTGACGTCGGCGCCGATGCTGATCCCGGTGAGGCTGCCCTGGAACCCGCCGTTGGCGACGGTCTGCATGACGCCGAGGACGAGGCCGATGGTGGAGTACGTGAAGGACATGACGGCGGCGACGATGGAGAGCCACCATATCTGGTCGAAGTCCGGTATCTGCGAGAAGACGACCTCGGCGACGCCGAAGAGGATCATGTACGGGTTGCTGGAGCTCCGGCACGCGTGCCGGTGGCCCTTGGCGTGGAAGCAGTCCGCCCTCTTGATCGCCCTGTGCTCCGTCGTTGGCGCGTCACAAATTCAGATGATGAGATTGAGATAGAAGCATGGAGATTGATTGATTGATTAATTAACTAATCGAGGCAAGAAAGCTGCGAAGGGCATTATTAATTACATACAGCATGCTGATGGATGCGGCGATGGTGTAACCGATGGCGACGCCGAAGAGGTTGGCGTACTGGATGGCGCCGCAGAGCGTGACCTTGGCGCCGCCGAGGCTGGCGCGGACGGCGTCCATGTAGGTGTAGTTGCGCTTGCCGGCCACGGGGTCGCCGGAGCGGTAGCACTCGGCGAGCAGCGTGGAGGTGTAGTAGATGACGACGGCGAAGAGCAGCATGACGGCGGGGCCGGCCGCCCAGCCCAGCTGCGCGATGGCCCACGCCAGCGACAGGACACCGGAGCCGATGACCGCCGTGATGATGTGCGCGCTCGCCGTCCACACCGTGCCCGTCCGCCGCGGCCGCCCGTCGTCGTCGGCGCTGCCGCCGCGGGCCTCCACCAACGACAACTCGTCAAACGGGGCCTGCTTCTTCGCCACCATTTTTTCGCTGGGACGCTAGTAGTAGTAGTAGCTAGAGCTACGCTTGTGATGTTTGGGGAATGAAGGGGAGGGGAAGTATATATATAACTAGCGTGCGCCCCGAAGCGTGGGAAGGAGAGGAGAGGGAAAAAAAAATTAAGAAAAAAAAATGGGTAAAAAAAAATGGTACTGTTTATTATCGGGTGGGACACTTTCATCGTGGATCCGTAAAAAGAAGGTGGTACTATTCCTTAGCGGGGCGATACTGTTCATATACAGTGATGTGTAAGGGAGGTGGGCCGGATGAACAGTAATCCGACGTGACCCCTCAAGCTTATAGTCTTTTATAGTTATATAGCCAAGTGCCAGGTCGCTAGTGGCAGTGACCCGGCCAACCCGACACCCGGCCGGCCCATCAGGTTGGGGTGGGCAACTGGTATTGCCTACAAATCAAGTTGGGCTGGTCCAGATCCGCACCGTAAACGGAGCCCAAAATGCTCGGAGTCTTCTTCGGTTGGGTCATCCCGCTTGTGATGGCAACAGATGCAGCGAGCAACTGCGGAACAGTCGCTGGAAGAGACGCGCACGAATATGTGCGCGCGTGTGGCCGTGGATATCATATCATCAGATAAGCGTCTCCGGCCATCCTGCCGCGCTCCATCTGATCTTCTCGATCGGCATCGATCTACCGCACTGAGACCATCAGTGCCGCCAGCATGTACGTACTAGGTACGTGCAAGTCGATGTTACAATCATTACGTGGTTTTCAATTTTTGCCTAACCAAAATCGTGGCAAGCCAAAAATTTTAGTCACCACTTGGTTTATTGCTAAAGAATTAGCACATCAATGCTTATGGCCAAAGTTTTGGCAAAATTGTAGAAACTTCTTAAATTGCATGAGAGACAAAGCTTTCTCCATTGCTATGGCACTCAACCAATTGTACCCTATATTTTCTTTCTAAATTTGGCAAGCCTTGATCTTGACGAGTCTAAGTTTTGGCTTACTATAATTTCGGTTGGACAAAAATTGAAAGTCAATCAATACGTTCCAACAATAAGGAACATTAGGCTGTCTCCAACAGGAGATCCATTACGGAACCAAAACCTAAAATAGGTCTCTAACACAATACCTATAGCCTCCAACAGAGTACCTGTATGGAAGACCCATTTTAGGTGCCAGGAGAGGCATAACCCAAATCTGAGTATCCTCTCTCTTGAAAACTCATTTGCAGAAAGGGTTGTCTTTTGAGTCTTGTTGTTGGGGAAAACCAAAAATAGGTATCGAACCCTTTGCCTATAGCGCTACCTAAAGGACTAATGGGTCTTGTATTTTGGATCGCGGTTGTTGGAGACAGTCTTATGGGAAAAAAAAACCATCACCACCAGCCATGCATGCACATACATACATCATTGATCTATGGGTAGTCGGTGACGTGCTGGACTGCTGGTAGGTAAGTTAGGTACGTATATGCGCGTGCATGCATGTTCGTTCGCCTCAACGGCTCAACATCATGCATGTCCGTCGTCTTTCCCCGCGAAGCATCCGGAAGTGCAGTGGTGTGAGTGACCGGTCCGATCAGCTATAGCAGGCACGCCTGTTTCACCTTTTCAGATATCAGCAAGGACCGGTCTTGTCTGATCCAACAAGATAAATAAACGTACTATATATAAACAAACATAATATGGGCATATATTCAGTACCTACAACCAAAGTGGAAAACCGATCCTTTTGCGCCCTTCATTCTTTTTAACGACGATGATCATCAGGCAGTGATCACCTTACACAAAGCAAGTGAGCGGATAGGAAAGAGTACGTGGACGAGCATTGCCGTTAAAAAAGGAGAAAATAAAGCCAATCGAGTATCCAGTAAGAATTCAGTCCAAATACACGCATTCTTCTGCGGTTCCTTCTGCAGATTTTCTCCCTCCCCACTCGATGGCCCAACAACGCCTGTGGCCCAACTTCTCCCACGCAAGGCAGCATACGGGCCGCACCGCAAAGTTAAGAGAGAGACATCGGCCCATGGTTCGCTCGTGTAGTGTTCACAGTTCACTCCTTTATTCTGTCGTGCTCTTCCCCAGCCGCACTGGTGGCGACGGCGGAGCAGCGGACTCCGGCGGCGGCGAGGGCGCGTGCGCGTCGGCTCCGGCTGGCGTGCGCAGTGGCGAACGGGCTGCGAGGCTGCGACCTGACTGGCGAGCGGCCTTCGGCAGAGCGCAAGCGCAGTGCCTGGGACCGTGGTGCCGCGCGGGGCCGGGGACTGCTGGTCGGCATCATGCTTTGTTCACGTAGAGCACACACTCGGGTATTGAGTACTGGTTTGAAAATACCAAATTACAAAACAAATCTTACCATTGCCTACTGAATTGCTAAACAGATTTTACCGATTTGCGTATGAAAATTTTAGCGTTGCATATCCTACAGAATTCTGGGCCTGCCACTGCCTACGATTTGACAATTTTAGCTTCCACCAATGGGTTTTAGATTGTAAAAAAAAGTTAATATCATTACAATTTTGAATACCCTAGTTTAAAATTATAGGCACTCCACTGCGAGGTAGCAGACACAAATATATACAGGAACGGTTATGTTTTGTTTAGGGCGTTGTTCGTCAGAACTAACCAACACTGCGTGCGCGTGACGACCATGAAAAAAAGTGGTGCACGCAGTTGCAGTCAGGTAGGGCCCACATCGGTCCTTTCTGCGGGGCAACGCATGGGAGCATGTACGGCCACTCGTTCGGCGTGGGTTGCATGCGGCGCGGGGCAGCACATGGGAGCTCGTGCGGCCACTCGTTCGGTGTGGGGCGCACAACAGTGCATGCGGCCTCGCTCGCCGTGGGATGCATGCGCGCGTGAGGTCCTGTGCATGCGCTATGACTAGAGAGAGAAGGACCGACAAAGAGAAGGAGCGCGGGGCCCACATACTTCATGGCACTGATCTCTGTATGTTTCATGCGTTTAGATGTATGTTTCATCTAGATGTTGTATGTGCTTCATTTAATTGTTGCAATGGCTATACATGTATGTTGTAATTGTATATTTTAAATGTTTCATCTGTTTTACACATATATTGCAAGTGTTTTATTTGGATGTTGCATGTGTTTCAGTGGCTATATACATATGTTGCAAGCGTCTATTCAACAATGTTTCATCTGTTTCAGACTATGTTGCAAGTGTTTTATCTAGATGTTGCATATGTTGCTGCTATACACATATGTTGCAAATATTTCCCTTGTTTCAAACGTATGTTGCAGAAATACTTCATGTCGCAACATTAGCAGGCGCATGAAGCGAGCGCACGTGGAGGCGGTTCTCACGTGCGTGGCAAGCGAAGCAGGCGTGGGTGGTCCCCACCTGCATGCGCACTAGTAGGTACGAGGCGCACAACTACAGCGTAGGCGCACCAGCATACGGGGGTGGGTGTGCAGGCGCAGCAGTTGCATGCGAGGGCAGATGTGCAAGCGCAACAGTTGCATGTGGGGGCAGACGTGCATGCGGGATAGGCGGGACAGGCTTAGCAGCATGCGTGACAGATGGGACGGGCGCAACAGGCGGAACAGGCACGGGCGTCCAGACCGGGGCTAGCGTGCAGACGTTCGAACGCTAGCCACGTCCACCGGCAGACACAGATATATACAGGAAGTACCATCCATCTTATGCGAAAAGAGCAACCAAATCGAACACCTCAGTACAGACAGCAGTGTATTTGTGTCTGCTACCTCCTCAAGCACGTCCATGGTAACATTGTTTAGGTGAATGGTTTCCTCATTACCCCTGAAACCCCCGATAGGGACGTAAGGCGGGTTGAATCGGCACATAGGCATAATTCTTATAGATTTACATAGATAACCCGTAAAATTAAGCCTAGAGTTTGCGTCTTTATTCCTTAATCCCTGATGCTCTGGGAGAGGGTCTAATAGACACACACAAACACACATACTTCAGGCAGTTTACTCTAGCGAGAGAGTTTAACAGACACACATACTTTAGGCAGTTTACAAAAAACTTCTAATTTTCACCAAGGATACATTGGAAGACATTGTTTACTCAAAACCATGGAACATCAACCTTTTACCAGCAGGCGTCATATAAACTGATGCCCATTTTTACACGCAAACACCAAAGATTGCCTTTATTGAGTCACATCTCTCGGTCAGCCAAGGAAGTGAAAGAAAGCATTAAACATGAAATGGAATAGTCGATTAAGCATCGTCCAAATATTCCTCCGTCCAGAAAAGAATGCAATTATGGGATTCGTACCAGTCAAACTAATTCAAGTTTGATCAAGTTTATAGTAGCATGTTCGCTTGTTGGTTTTAGCCAGCCCAAACCAGCCAGCCAACAGTGTTTTCCTCTCACAAAAAACCAGCACCAGCCAGCCCAAACCAGCACCAGCACCAAACAGCGAACAGGCCCAGTAAATAGTATTAATGTTTATGTCTCCAAACAAATTTATTATGAAAATATATCATATAACGAATTCAATGATACTTATTTTGTATCATGAATATTAGTACTTTTTTATATAAATTTAGTCAAAGTTCAAACTGTTTAACTTTTTGAAAAGCGAGAATTGCATTCTTTTATGGACGGAGGAAGTAATATACAAGCAACCTGTTTATCTTTTATTTTTTTTCCTAGTGCTCTTTTCTTCTTAGTGCCCAAACAACCACCAAATTTCACCCTAAAAACTCAAAGCAACAAATTCAAGGCATTAATAGAGGCTACAGTAGAATATACACCCCTAGTTCAAACTGCCCTCACAAAAATTTCAATAATTTAAGCAAAAGTTTAAAAAAACACATATGCGTCATTTAAATACTCCGTATTTATTATTTCTACAACTAAAACATCTAAAACTATTCCGTCCACCCGGCGATCTGGTGTCGCGCCCTCCCAGGTCCCGCCCTGCAATTCTGCGCGAGCCTTTTACCTGTGTGTCATTATAAAAGATGATCGCGGCCTACGTGCTACTAAAAAGTTCGAACGCACCTATGTGCCATGACACTTTACTTTTTTACCTCCCAAGCCATTCCGTTTATTTTTCCATCTAACGATGTCAATCTGCGTTGGAAAAAGTCCCAAATACCCTCACGTTGCTTCTTCACCGTACCCTTCTTCGTTTCCTCTGCCAGTCATCTTCGTCCCGTCCTCCACCATGTGCTGGGGCCAGGGAGCCCCGCGTGCGCCAGGGCGGGGGGCGGAGCCGGCCGCGCGGGCGCCGGGGCCGGGGGCGTAGCCGGCCTCGCGGATGTCAGTGTCGGGCAGAGCCTAGCCGCTCGCTGCCTCGTGCCTCCATCGCCGGCGCACCCACTGACGGCACCCAGCGATTCCACCGCCCCGACCACTGCGACCGACGCGCGCGATGGTCGCACGGCCACGTGCGTTCCTGCGCGGGCCACGTCACCGCACCGCCGGCCGCGAGCTCCCTGCCCACCTGAACTCGCCGGACCTAGCCAAGGCCGCCTCAAGCCGAGGACGCGCCGCCCCGACCCTGCGCGCCTCCCGTGGCACGGACAGCCCGAAGACGAAGACGACGTCGCCAGGAGGCCAGCAGCGCGACGGCGTGGTCGGAACCCGCGCGGCGCGCCAGGTGCAGCATGAGCGGGCAGAGATGGCAAAGATGGCGAGGGCGAGGAACACGCAGAGCGGGAGGAAGGCCGCTCGGGCATGGTGAGGAGGAGCTGGCAAGGCACGGGCGCGACGTGGTCACCAGCGAGCACGCCAGTGGAGGCTCAGTGGGCGGCGCGTGACCTCGCTGCTTGGGGGGAGCTCGGCCCTTGGCCGCCGGAGCCGCGCTGCGCGAGCTGCGACCTACGAGCGAGGCCTCAACCGCACGCCGTCTTCTCAGGACGCTGGCCGAGCGGACGCGGGCGCATCGCGGATGTGAGAGGGAGAGGAGAGCCGGGCTCACCAAAGTTGAGAGGGGCTCACTGGAGTTGGGAGGGGGCTCGCCGGAGTCGGGGTGGGGGTCGCCGGAGTCGGGAGGCCAGTGCATCGCGGAGAGGGCCGCGCGGTCGGAAAAGATGCCGATGGAGAAAAATACAGAGAGCAGTTTACGCCTTGACAAAAGAACATTTTGGACGTTTTTACTGACTGGCCCCACGTGTCAGGGCTGGCAAACGGCAAAAATCCAACAGAAGATGAACAGAATGGCTCGGGAGGAAAAAAAAAAGGTAAAGTGTCATGATACATATGTGCGTTCAAACTTTGTAGTGACATGTAGACCGTGACCATCTTTCCTAACAGCACACGGGTAAAAGGCTCATTCTGCGCGCTCGCTCCTAGACCCCGCCCGGCACTTCCATTCACCGCGAGAATAGATGGAAACTCGAGGTAATCACTGCGACATTAGAAGGAAACACAACGCCCCTACCCCCGATCTCCTCCAGTCCGGCTCGATCCATAGCAGAGGACGCCAACGCCGATTCGCCGATCCCATAGCAGAGGACGTCAACGCCCACGCGGTTTCCAGCTAAGCCCCTCCAGCGATCACGCAAAGGTCAGTGTCGTGCCGGAGGACCTGCGTTGCCAGCGTTCTGAGTCTCTGATGGAACAGTGCCTCGGGTCCATCCCCAAGCACGCCCGTCGCTCCGCGTTCCTCCCCATATCGTACGTCCAGCTGTGACAGTGGACGGAGGAGCAGGCCTCTAGCCGAAGCGACCTAGATCTCGTTCATCATGGTGGTGGAACTGCAGTGACTCGACGCGGCGGCGGGGTTAGCTGTGCACCGGTGCCGCAGGACCTCCGTTGCCAGCGCTCCGGCGGCAAGCAGTGGCGCTGCAGCGCACCTTCCATGACCGACAAGACCTCCGTTGCCACCAGGCTTTCTTTGCTCCTTCAACACTCCTTCAAGCAGACACCGCTAGGTACGACCCCATTATCCCCATGCCCCTTCAACTTGATATTTTCCAGCTGATGAAGTTACACAGGGCAGGCGGACTTCAGTTGATTTTTTTTTATCTGATATCTGATGCTGCGTGCATTGGTATGGTGAAGTCACGTGAAGTTGCAGCTTTCTGAGCCTAACTTCCGTGGAGAATCTACACAGTCAACGACCGGGACCCTGGTACATAACCTGTTTCTGTTTGTATGAGTTTGTTCTCATCTACATCTTCCATTAGTTTTCATCTACATCTTGCTTGGATACCTGGCTTTGAGATGAAGGATTAGCCAGCTCAAAGTAGACATAAACATGGACTCGATCTTGATGCAGTTGTACAACTGAAGACTGAATAAAACAGATAGGGTGTTATACCCTGAATTCTGATGAGTTTATTACTGGTGAGCGAACCTGCATAATACAGACAATGGTACTATATCATTTATATCTTTTGTAATTCTCGAATATAAAACTGAATCTTCGTGTCCATTGAGTAAAATTATGTTTATGAACCTGAAACTTTTCAGGCCTATGCTCAATTTCAGACAATATAAAACTGATTGGAGAGTTTGATTCAAATAAGAGTATAGCAAGAGTCTAATTCACGTTTTTTCTGCCCCGTGCATCAATTAAAACAATAAATATTCTAATCTCGGCAGCTCATTCAATCGACATGCACACAAGCGGCCATGGTTCGCCCCTTGCCTGCAGTACCCCTCCCTGCTCGTCCCTATTCTTGATCTGGCAGGAACCTTCCAGTCTTGCACAAGTACAGGTTCACGTAGAGGTTATTTCAGTCTCAATCATTCAGAGAAGAAAACCTTTTCTCTGTTGTCTATTTTTAAATGGGTGCATATCCTAATAATTGTGCTACATTATTTTTAATCTAGGGAGTAATATGTTCAAACTGCATGTGGGTTACTTTTCAGTCTAGAGAGTAAGAACACTATGGACTGAAGGGGTAATACAAATAGCCTGTCCTATAATAGTTAAGAATTTCACTATGGACTGAAATTCATCCTGTAAAATTTCAGTTCTCTGTTCATCGAGCTTTCAACTCTAATTTTATTGTTACCTTCCAGTGTAACTACACAGAGAAGTCCCAGCGCTGCAAAAGTTCAGTGAACAGAATTTTGGTGAGGGCTCTTCCTGTGGAAAATTCATCAAATTAGCTGAGGTTCAGTGAATAGGAAATTAAGGTATGCTTGGAGATAGCTCTCTTAATTAGGGTCTAGAATTTTTTACTTTTAATCAACTGAATAAAAAAATTGGAGATATATGTTTCTTATAGGATCCAGTGTTTTGACTGAAGCGAGCCCATGGTAGCAGATGACTTACCCTATGGTGGCTCCCATGGTAGTGATCGACTTGACAATCCCTTGGCTGATATGACTAATAATTGCCAACAATGAAATTCTAGAAGCCGGGCATGTAATGCTGTGGAAACAAGCTCAGCAGGCTGCTGCTTTTGTTTGCTTGCACCGGAGCTCTTTTGACCACTAAGAGTCTGAGAACAAACGAGGAAGAACCCATCCCGTGAAGCCTTCTCGCTGTGCCGATCGGTATCTTGAATTGCTTTCAGATGATGCCGTAAGAAAGCATACTGAGAGCATAGTGTTTAGACCAGTTTATGGGTTGCTTATCTTTTTATATAACAATAGGGTACCGAGCAATTAATCGCTCCAGTTATATATTTAAGCTCTATGGTTCACCTGAATTTCAGTGGTTGCCGCTGCCATCACAGGATTGTGCTTTGATAGCTAGGTTCTTGATTAAATTAGCCATTGATAATAGTACAATACACGTTTAAATTTCAGATTATCGTCGTATTACTTTGTTCCCGTTGCAACGCACGGGCACGATCCTAGTGATAATGAAAAAGATGTAACCATTTAGCACCAAAGTTAGAGAAACCAGTCCAGAAAAGTTCTCATTTATGCATCCAGGGTAATACAGCAAAATTGCTAACAAATAATCTGCTTGCATTTTGAAATTTAGCATTTCTAAAAAACAGAGGGATAATGATTGAATTGCCAGCGTGATGGGAAAGTTTATCTGAATTAAAAATGCAAAGTTAAGGAGAATTCCATGTGTGAAACCCTGTTAGCCAAAATAATGGGATTGAATATTCTGACAGTCCAATCAATATTCTATTAATAAAAGTCGTAATGAAATAAAAGAGGACACAATTTGATTTGGAAATAATGAATCATCAGGGCTGATGGAGTGAAGGTTCTCAGTAGCAATGTTCAGACTATTTCCTAACCACTGACAGATATTCTGCCAAAAGGGCTAGGGCACACACACAAACTGTAGGTACTGCAACCATTGTGAACTCACAAAGCCATGGAACAATAATTTTTTAGTAGACATTATTAACTTTTGGCCTCAACTAAAGCACCAACAGAAAAGACTGCCTTCATTTCATTGACATTTCTTCAATTGGCCAAGGAAGTGTATGAAAGCATTAAACAAGATATGGTCCAGTTCAATATGAATAAAAGGGCGTACCCTGGCCGGCTTAATTTAATTTTCTTAGTGATTTTCTCTCCGAAAGAATTTCCATGCAACCCTCAACTTTCACACTAAAAAGATCAAACTAGCACCCCAAGTCATGAATAAAGGTTGCTTATGTAATTAATTCACCTACTGCAAAACAAAAGGCCTAGCAGAAATTCTGGACCCCAGTCCTTGGATATGTTGCTAATATCAGTTAAAAACACCAATTGTTATGTGAACAATCGCAAAACTCAGTCATCGAGTACGATGAGCAGTATGCATTGTTTACCAGGACGTATTCATTTTGCGCATTCATATTGGTATCGAAATGCAAGTCAATACATCAGTTCAATGTGTGCTACAACTACGTGCATGTGCCATTGTAGTGCTAGTGCTCAATTGTTTTGTTGGATGCCACTGCCACCGTAATACTGTTTTGTTGTCTGACGAGAAAATTCTGCAAATGTCATCCCTTCTTTTAGCCTTGATGACATAGGGGGAATTTTTTTCAGAATTTCTTGCATAAATGTATCTTCATCACAAGGCCCTGCTGATCCATCACTGACGTCTGAAGTCTCCTTGCTAAGAATGGATTCACCTTCATCTAAAGAGTAACCAGGATAAGCTAAAGTTTTGTCCCATGAGGGCTGTAGGAAGACAACAAAAGTCTCACGGCTGATGTCTGTGGAAGTCAAAGGTCTACTCACAGCATGAAGTGTAGATTTCAATTTCCCTTGGGACAAGATGTCTGCTGCCTCTCCAACCTGAACAATGAAGTTCTCAGGAGAGCATCTAACAGAGAATATCTTCCTTCCATTGCATAAATGCAAGTGTGTGTGCCCATCAGGAGGATGACATTCCAGGTTGACCAAACTGTTTTCGTCCTCAGAGGCGCTCAGGAACAATGGTGCTGTTAAAACAGTGAGGATTCCATAGTCATAGTGCCATTCCTGCCATAGGTTTAACAGGGAAATTTCAGCAGCCACCTGACCCTGAATCGAGGCATCCTTAGAATCATTTTCTTTTATTGACATTACAGTAGTCCCATCTTCTGACTTAATGCAGCACGGGCACAGTGATTCGGACCTCCTTTCAGAACATGACTGATAAGGTTTTACTGCCACTTTACTTACCGAACCTTTCCTCTTTGTACTGTTATCCCTGATAACATTGTTATCCAGCTCAGAGTGGTAGTGAATGAGCCTCGCCTTTGCCGTCCCAAAGTCAGTGATGCTCTGCTCTAGCTGACCTCTACCGATGGCAATATCGCAAGCTCGTGCAACCAAAATCCCAAGCTCCATCATGTACAAACCAAGCTCCTTAACGAGGCCACCAAGATTCTCCATGTCATCGTCACCGTTAGCGTCCACGGATTGGTTACAATCCTGTATCTTATCTGAAGAATTAAAACCGTTGTTGTTGTTCACAGACTCAAGCAAGGTGAGTTCACCTGAGTGCCTTAGAAGCTGCGCGAACGAGGATACAGACCGATTGAGCTTCTTCAAAGGCACGTCGCTGCCCAAACCATGCTTCTGAAATAATCGACGGAAATATATCAAGGCACATTGCAGTTTCAACTTTCATGGTCAACAACGAGAAGAAGGAAAGGGGAGGGGGAGGGGTACCTTGAGGAGTTGGGAGCGGATCGGGTGGTCCATGAGGGCGAGGCGTCGGGCCAAGGGGAGGAGTCGCCGACGGAGGGCGCCCACACGCGGCACCCCGGCGATGGCCAGCAGCCCGGACCCGCCTCGGCCGAGCTCGGTCGCGACGGCGTCCACAACGCGTCGGAAGCGGCCGTCGTCAGCAGGAGTCTCGGGAGATAGGAGTACGACTAGGTCGGAGAAGGGGAGCTCCGCGATGTCCAGCGCCGTCGCCGCCGCCATCTTCGGCACAGGCAGGACCGCAGGCCACAGGAGAAAGGCAGCGGCGGCGATGCCCTGTGTAGTGTGTCTCAGGCAAATGGGCCATGACTTGTTGGGCTGTGTGGGCCTGTGGTAGTTTTTGGGCTTGGAACATAGTAGTAGATGGAATTCTATCTAAAAAAAAAGTAAATTACATGACCGGTTTTTAGATGGGATTCAAATGGAAAATGTTTCAAAAATCCCGTAACGTCAAGTTGTACAACTTTGGTTTTGGTCGCTTCTCCATCCGGGCATGTTTGAAAATTTTGGTTTTGTTGAGATCTATAACTTTTGCTTTGATCATTTCTCCATCCGAGGTCGTCTAGAAAATTAAAAAAATTGAATTTCAAAATATGAGTACTTCAAACTGAATTTGCTTGATCCAAATTATTTTAAATGAAAAATATGTCAACTACAAAGTTGTAGATCTCGAGATATACAACTTTGACATAAACTTTGCCTTCATTCAACTTTGTTTAAAAAGAACTTTACTATGCTACCCTATTTTTAGAATCGGCTGAATCTAGAGTTATGAATTATTGACTAACCATCAATAAAGTTATAGAGGCAGCTGAATATAAAGTCTCATCTAAAGATAGGAGCATTTATAGAGAGCCTGAAAATACCAATCGCTCCTACAAATGCATTTATAGAGGTGGCTGGTTCTGGAAACCATTTTCAGAGGGAATAGTAGAATGAGCCACCTCTATTAAAAAGAGACATGTTTACAAATAGTATTTTAGTAGCGTGCCGTTTTTATAAAGATATCAAAACGTCAAGTATAGTAGAGTCCTTGTTGTTAGACTGTCTCCAACAGCCTATGCATAAGACCACCTAAACCCAAAATGCATGGTGTATAGTAAAAAAACCCTCCAATAGAGTAGACAGTCAGAGTACTCATTTTACGTGGGAGGAGAGATGGAAGGCAAATAAGCGTCCTCCCGACACACGACCCAAATCTCTAGCGCGGAGGGCACGGCCGCTGGGCGCAGCGGCGAGGAGACGACGGGCGGGCCGGGTGGCGTGCTGAGGTGCACCGGCGCGTGGCCAGACCCTGAGCCAGGGCTGGGCGTGCCCCGCGCGGCTGCGAGGCAGGGCGATAAGACGCGCGGCGACGGAGTGAACCGGAGCTCTCCCAAGCAGCGCAAATCCTCGACGGCAACGCTAGGAGCGGCGCCTCCTCCCTCACCGGCGATCGCGGCTGTTTCTCCCCAACAGCGGCGGCGCCTCCTCCTTCGAGCCAGAGGCAACTCCTCGTCGCCGTCCTCTGGCAGCTTGAGCGCTGACTACCTCTATGCCATCGCGGCGTCCGGTCGCTTCGCCCGCGCTGCCGCCGCCGTGCACGCCGCCATGCCGCGCCTGGAGGAGGAGGCGCGCTCCCTACTCTCTTCCTCCGCTCCCTCTCTGCGGCGCCTCTAGCTGTCATCGAACGACCTCGGCGACGCGACGCCTGACACGTCCCCATGGCACGACGGCACGCTCTCCCCGACCGCCACGGCCGTGGGCACTGTCGCGGCCTGCATGCTGCGCGCCGGGTACGGGCCAGAGTTCGCGTAGGTGTACGTGTCCTCTCGCCGCGACGCGCTCGTGGAGTCCGTGGCAGTCCTCGGCGTTAAGGCCATCACCATCGAGGAGGTCCTCAGGATGGAGTGGTCAGCGCTCGACCAGAGGATGCGGCGGTGGAGTCACGCCGTGAGGGCCGTGGTCAGGACCTTCCTCGCGGACGAGCGCTGGCTCTACAACGAGGTCTTCGCGTCGGACGAGGACCTCGGCCACGAGTGCTTCGCCGACGTCGCCAGGGCCTGCGTCCTGCAGCTGCTCGCCTTCGCGGACGCGCTCGCCGTGTCGCCATGCGCCACTGAGAAGCTATACCTCACGCTCATCATGTACGAGGCGCTCGCCGACGTGCGGTCGGAGCTGGAGGCGCTCTTCTACGACGGCGCCACGTGCGAATTCTTCACGGGCGAGGTCTCGAGCACCGTCCAGCAGCTGGGCTCCACCGTGTGCCACACCATCGAGGAGTTCAGCCACGCCATCCACGGCGAGGCGTCACGGAAGCCCGTCCACGGCGGGGAGATCCACCCCATGACCCGCTACGTCCTCAACTACAGCGGCCTCCTCGCCGACTGCTGTGGCACCCTGGACGCAGTCCTCGGCGATGCCAGCATCGACGCGTGGATGCGGTCCGACGTCGGCGCGGCATGACCCGCATGCCTCGCTTGGATGGCGGCGCCGACGGAGGAACGATGTCCTCACGTGGATGGCGGCGCCGATGGAGGAACGACGGCCTCGCATGGATCCGTCAGTAGGAGGTGGCGAGTTTTGGGTTCGCTATTGGAGAAGATAAGATTTGGGCGTGTGACCTTCTTGTTATACGTTACCCAAGCTATGGAATGTGTCTTATGTTTGGGTATGTGCTGTTGGAGATAGTCTCAGGATCTGATGAACCAAGTAGAGAGGGGTGAACGCCGTGCACGAATATGTATTGATGGTTGGACTAGTTTATATTAGTATGGAAACGCTCAGACCCAAACATTCGACATCTGGACTCTTCACCCACTCCCTGCGCCACCCGTGCCGCGCCCACCTGCCTTCTACCCCACCGTTGCCCGTGTCGCCCTCACCCCGCCCTCTATGTGTCGCCGTCGCGTTGCCGGCGAGCTCCGCGCCACCGGCGAGCACACCAGTGACCTCCACGCGCTGACCAGCCTCCATTCACCGAAGCAGTAAGGAGATGTTTGCCCTGAAAGAGCATGTTGCAATTGTTTTGTATTGATGTTGCAAAAATAGATCGGGATATTGCACATGTTGCAATGGCTATACACGTATGTTTCAAGTGTATGTTCCAAATGTTTCATCTGTATTAGACGTATGTTGCAAGTGTTTTTATCTGGATGTTGCAAAGTAGATCTAGATGTTGCATATACATACATGTTGCAAACATATGCTTCAAGTGTTTCATACGTCTGTTGCAAGTGTTTCTGAATGTTGCATATTTTTACAATGGCTTTTGAGTGTTTTTAGGTGTTTCGTAAGTGTTTAGACGTATGTTGCAAGTGTTTTAGCTGTTTCGGACATAAATATCTGGGTGTTGCAAAAGTAGATATGGGACACCGACGAACGCCCACTGGAACAGAACCATGCTCGCCGACGGGTACAGCGGCGCCACGGCCGGCTGTCTCCGCCTCGCCGTTAGCTCGGACATGCAGGGTGGAATCTTGGCCCAAATAGTGTAGTCCTTGATGAAGCCTCGCATGATCTAGTGCCATCTGATTGTACTCACATATTTCGGTTCAAGATTATTCTAGCAATAGCTACATGAACAATGAATTTTGATTTCATTCTTGGTGATTGCATTCCAATTTGCGGCTTCAATGAATATATTCACTTTATCATGGAAAAATGGCTTCCATTGCATTGAACTGGACGTCCATGTGTTCCTATCCATCTTTTAAGACATCGAAACAAAAAAAAAGAATTAATTGATTTAAGTAATAATAATTATATACAATATGGCCCCTAATTAAACAATTATCAATGTTCACTTTTTAATTGTAATCAATTGCAATTGAAATAAATTATTGAAAACTATTAAAATAAACACATTGTTCATGCATACCTAATCCCTATTTAAAACCTAGAAAATAGACCATAAAAACTTACTAATTAATAGACCAATGTCGATGCACTTAATAATGTTTTTAATACAAAAACATTATGAATGTTGAGCAAACAAATCTAATTATTCAGCCACCTCCGCCCAAAAATGCTTCCGTTGCTGAAAATCATTATTATTGTAGTAGTGACAAAAATCGAATCGAATTCATTCTTCATGCACAGACGAAACTAAAATGGAATCCATCGCCCATATTGGTGCGCGCGTAGACCGAGGGCCACACTACACCACATCCGTGAATTGGCGGGAGGGTGGCACCACCACCGCTGCATCGACGAAGCATGAGGGGAGGAGAATTCGATGCGAGAGACTAGGAGCGGGTGAGCGGCTATGGTGCTGTCAGGATTTTATATACTACTAGCGTATGCCCGTACGTTGGTACGAGAACCTTAAAATTTTGAATGCAATTCAACACAATAAAAGTTAGAAAAAAAATTGTAGGTTAGGAGCCCCAAAGTTTCAACGCAATAAGAGTATCAAAAAATAGTGGGTTGAAATGAAGACAAATAAATTTTAACTTGGCTTAGCAACATACTGTTTTGAGCCACGTTCAAATAAATAAGCGTCAAATTTAGTAACAATGTCAAAATAAGTGCTTATTTTTTTTATTGGTAGCTTCGGTGACTTGATGCTTACTCCCTCCGTCCCATTATATTTGCACGTCTAAAATTGTGCACGCATACCAATGTTATGTGTAAAAGTACATCCTGTCACCCGCGGACCCGCACCTCTTCGCGCATGCCTGCTGTGCGGAAATGAAGAGGACACGGGGCCTCGGTATGACCAAACGAGTGGTCCAAAGGCTTCCACGTACTCCCTATCACTTTTCCTTTTTTTCTATGTCCACTATTTTATTTTGTTGCTGATCCTTGTAGCTAGTCAGCTGGCAGCTTTAGGCTGCTACAGACCCTACTAGACCCTATAGTGACCTTCTATTGTGGGAAAAAATTTGAAACGTAGAAGTGCGTTTAATCCGGGACGGAGGGAGTATTTTTTTATTATGATATGATTCACGTCGCCTTTTATTTTTTTCATCCCTATGTTCTTGGGACATTGCATGCCATCGAGCTATATCATTTTCCCTCTTGTGGTCTTTAGCATCAACTGGTGATAGTTAAAAAAATGATATAACATATACATAGGAAACACAATGGAATATTCGATAGCATGTTGCATTCTGTAACCTTCTTTAGTTGTGTTAGTCTTGTCTCCCAATGGCGCTCGACAACCACTATTTTGCATTGTATTAATGTCGGGTATCGATAGTAGGGATACCTAAAGCAAGGGAGTTAGTGCTGACTTTTCC